TCTGCCAATTCAGGGGACACGGGTTCGAGCCCTGGTCAGGGAAGATTCCCACGTGCTGTGGAGCTTAGGACTAAGCCCATGTGCCACAACTACTGAAGCCCACGTGCCTAGAGCCCATGCTCCGCAACAAGAGAAGCCACCACAATGAGAAACCCACGCATCACGACGAAGAGTAGCCCCCACTCACCACAACTAGAGGAAGCTCGTGCGCAGCAACGAAGACCCAACGCAGCCAAAAATAAATAGATAAATTTGTAGGAAAAAAAAAAAAGAAATGAAGAAGGAACAGCAGGTGCAAAGGCCAAGAGGTGTGAAACCAGCTGGCTTCACACTTCATTCCACAGGTATTTACTGAGTGCGTCTTAGGTGCCAGGTGCTGTTTTTGGTGCTGGAGATACAGCAGTGACCACAGCAGACCAGACCCTTGCCCCCATGGAGCTGACAGTTCACAAGAGGAAAATATCAAAATGTGGGTTGGAGATAAGGAGCGGCAAGCATTTCAGCCACGGGGGCCCATGGACCCCTAGAGTCTGTAGAGGGGGTCCACAAAACCCTTGGAAATTGAATGTAAATATACGTGTGTGTTCATGTTCACACAGGCATTTTCATAGGGAATGGACTCATAAAATTTTATTGCATTCTCAAAGGGATCCATCCATGACCACCTTGGGCATGGGGGTCCTTATTCTAGGGCCCGTTGTGCGAAACTAAGGAGTTTGACCTTGATGTGGAAGTTCTGGGAGCCAATAATTAATTTTGAGAAGTGAAAGCATCAGAGCCTGACACTGTGCTCCTGCCAGAGAGAGAGAACTCCTTGTGCCTTTTCTGCTGCTAAGCCTTTGCTCTTGCTGTTTCTTCCCGACCTGGAGGGATGGAAAGGGCCACGCTTTCAAAGCCAGACAGACCTGACTTTGCCTCCTGCTTCTACCCACCATTTTCCAGCTGCCAGCCTCCAGTCTTCTCCCTCTGTGAAAAGCTCTGAGGTTTAGATGAGCCTGTAATGTTTGGACGATTTAATGATAATTTCTGTTTGGAAAGTGCCCAGCATATAGTAGCCACTCGGCAAATGTAAGTTCCTCTCGTGGCTAGATGGCTCAGTCGTTCAGAGAGCCCCTCCTGCCTGGGGTCTGGAACTTCCTGGGCAGTTGCTCACATGCCCACAGAGCTTTGTGAGTATCACGAATATCACTCTCAACACACTAATAAACTCACACCTGTATTTATTTGCCCTTGACCTCATCCCATTAATCCACACCACAGTTCACTCTCTATTTTACAGATGAGGAAACTGAGGCTCTGGGAGGTTGAGAGATTTACCAGGAATCAGTAAGTGGCTGGAAGAATCCCATCACCACATCTTCTAAAATAATAATAATGACAGTAGTAACAACAACAGTGAACATTTATTATGCTTACTTTGTGCCAAGCGCTGTGATGAGCACTTTACCTGCCTCACAACCCCCAATTCCAGCCCCCACCTCTCGGCAGTACTATCGTGGGTACAGCTGTGAGGCAGGTACTATTGTTATGAGAACTTATAGGAGGAAACCGAGGCTCAGAGAGGTTAAGCAACTTGCTCAAGATAACCCAGGCCAGTTTTCAAGTCCACTCTCAGACCTCGATCTAACTCCACAAAGAAACCCGGGTCATTCTGCCTCTCGGAAAACTCTGCTCCCAAGTGCACAGTTCAAAACCCCACCCAAGGCTGCCCTGCATCGCGGTCAGTCTGCTCCAGCCGAGTTGTTCTTTGTTTTGACCAAAGATACAGAGGGCGCTGCCCCGATTCGTCTGGGGGGCCGAGGGGGAGGGGAGGGGGAGGGAGTAAGGGTGGACATTTTAGGTGCAGGGGCGTGTGCCGGGGAGAGTATCTGGGGACCAGAGGACGAGTCACGTGCCCGTGAAACTCGACCTAGGGGGAGGGTTAGGGAAGGGAGCCCCCGCCCCTACCTCGGGGTGCAGCCCCGGCCGGTTGTAAGTACAACTGTTCACTCCGTCGATCCACTTCGTCCTAGCCTCATTTCGCGCATTGGTGGCGCCCGCCGGGTTCCCGTTCCCCGACTTCTTCCGATGGGACCGAGGCGGTGAGAACACCAGGCTGTCCGGCAGAATCTCCGAGGCCGCCCAGACCCGGCGCGCAGAGAAGTCCCGAGCGCCGCTGCGGTTCCGAGCTGGGCCCGCCGGACACCGGACGCCGAAATTGTGCACGCGCCGCTCCCCGACCGGTCGGCGGCTACACGAGGCGCGTTTGCCCCGGATCAGAGGCGAGCAGCGGGGGCGGCGGGGGGGCGGGGGCCCGGGGGTTCCCGACCTGGAGGGATGGAAAGGGCCACGCTTTCAAAGCCAGACAGACCTGACTTTGCCTCCTGCTTCTACCCACCATTTTCCAGCTGCCAGCCTCCAGTCTTCTCCCTCTGTGAAAAGCTCTGAGGTTTAGATGAGCCTGTAATGTTTGGACGATTTAATGATAATTTCTGTTTGGAAAGTGCCCAGCATATAGTAGCCACTCGGCAAATGTAAGTTCCTCTCGTGGCTAGATGGCTCAGTCGTTCAGAGAGCCCCTCCTGCCTGGGGTCTGGAACTTCCTGGGCAGTTGCTCACATGCCCACAGAGCTTTGTGAGTATCACGAATATCACTCTCAACACACTAATAAACTCACACCTGTATTTATTTGCCCTTGACCTCATCCCATTAATCCACACCACAGTTCACTCTCTATTTTACAGATGAGGAAACTGAGGCTCTGGGAGGTTGAGAGATTTACCAGGAATCAGTAAGTGGCTGGAAGAATCCCATCACCACATCTTCTAAAATAATAATAATGACAGTAGTAACAACAACAGTGAACATTTATTATGCTTACTTTGTGCCAAGCGCTGTGATGAGCACTTTACCTGCCTCACAACCCCCAATTCCAGCCCCCACCTCTCGGCAGTACTATCGTGGGTACAGCTGTGAGGCAGGTACTATTGTTATGAGAACTTATAGGAGGAAACCGAGGCTCAGAGAGGTTAAGCAACTTGCTCAAGATAACCCAGGCCAGTTTTCAAGTCCACTCTCAGACCTCGATCTAACTCCACAAAGAAACCCGGGTCATTCTGCCTCTCGGAAAACTCTGCTCCCAAGTGCACAGTTCAAAACCCCACCCAAGGCTGCCCTGCATCGCGGTCAGTCTGCTCCAGCCGAGTTGTTCTTTGTTTTGACCAAAGATACAGAGGGCGCTGCCCCGATTCGTCTGGGGGGCCGAGGGGGAGGGGAGGGGGAGGGAGTAAGGGTGGACATTTTAGGTGCAGGGGCGTGTGCCGGGGAGAGTATCTGGGGACCAGAGGACGAGTCACGTGCCCGTGAAACTCGACCTAGGGGGAGGGTTAGGGAAGGGAGCCCCCGCCCCTACCTCGGGGTGCAGCCCCGGCCGGTTGTAAGTACAACTGTTCACTCCGTCGATCCACTTCGTCCTAGCCTCATTTCGCGCATTGGTGGCGCCCGCCGGGTTCCCGTTCCCCGACTTCTTCCGATGGGACCGAGGCGGTGAGAACACCAGGCTGTCCGGCAGAATCTCCGAGGCCGCCCAGACCCGGCGCGCAGAGAAGTCCCGAGCGCCGCTGCGGTTCCGAGCTGGGCCCGCCGGACACCGGACGCCGAAATTGTGCACGCGCCGCTCCCCGACCGGTCGGCGGCTACAGGAGGCGCGTTTGCCCCGGATCAGAGGTGAGCAGCGGGTGCGGCTGGGGTCCGGGTCCCGGGCTGAACGTTCTCTGAGAGTCACCCGGCTGGCTCCCACCGACACTTCCAGGCTCCCCAAGAAAGACCCGTTACCTGAGCCCGTGGGTCCCGCCTCTCCAAGCGCGTCTCTCCTTCCCCTTTGGTATGCCCCCTTGGCGCCCTCTCTTGCTGCACTGCCTCCGTTTAGAGAAACACTCTTGTCGGAGTTCGAACGGACCTGCGGGAACTCCTAAATGCAAAGCCCCATTTCACAGATGAGAGTACTGAGGCCCTCCGGCGAAGGCCTTCGTGCTTTGCTCCGCTCGCTCGCGCCCTTTCTCTCCTGCCCTTCCTGTACCTCTCCTCTCTGCTTTTCTCGGTCTCACCGGCCGCTCTCCGCCCCCGCGCCGCCCGCGCCCCGTCTCCTCCCGCGGCGGCGGCCGTGGCCTAGGCGGAGGGGGTGGGGGTGGGTGCTCGGGCTCCTTCTCTCTCCGGTAAACCCACCCTCCCGCCAGCCCCTCCGCCGCCACTGCACTTATAAAGTCAGCGGCCGTCGGACTTCCTGCGGGTGCCCGAGCCCCCTCCCCGGGCGAGAGAGGGCGGGCATGTTCCCCGGCTCGCAGCTGGGTGCCCGTGTGAGTGGGTGGCGCCGGCGGCGCTGGAGGGCCTGCCTGGGTCTCGTTCCACGTGGCAGCTGTCGGCTTGGACCGAGAGACTGTAGGGACTTGGGTCGCCTAGTGCGGAAAGGGGGAGGGCTTGCTGAAGCCCGGCCCCAGAGAAGAGGAGTGGTCTTACAGGGGCAACAGGAAGAGGGGAGGGTGTCCTTGAGCTAACGTCAGACTTCCCCTTCCTCCCCCTGCTTGCTTCTGGGGGTCCTTCCTGGAGCGGGAGGCCGGATACTGGCCAGCGGTTGCTTCAGAGCGCGCCCTGACCCTTGCTGACCTTTGGGGACTTGGGGAAGTGCGGGATTGGTCCCCGGGAGCCGGGCTCTGCGTGCCTTGGCCTGGGTGGAAGAGCCCGGCAGCGCGCCAAGAAGCTGTTGCGCACAGACAGGACCTTCCTTGTCTCTGATAGTGACACGGCGGGAGCCCAGCGCCTCGTGCGCCCCTGGCGCTGCCAGTGCGCCCAGAGCCAGCTCGGCGGCACCCGCTGGGAAGCCCAGGGCTCTATGGGGCCTCCATGAAGGCCCCCTTGCGGGCTGGCTCGAGGGGTCTCGGGAGCCACCATGATACAGGATGCTTCTCTGGGTCCTCTGGGCCCTTCGCTCAGTGCTCTGCTCCTGGGCAGGCTCGCGACCAGTATGGCTCCCACGCTGGAGGAGGCGTACCGGAGGCGCTGGTGGATGGCGTGCACGGCCGTGCTGGAGAACCTCTTCTTTTCTGCGGTGCTCCTGGGCTGGAGCTCCCTGCTGATCATGCTCAAGAACGAGGGCTTCTATTCCAGCATGTGCTCAGGTATGCCCGAGAAGGGGCCAGTGGCGCTCGGGAGGGGCAGCAGAGGGGGAAGGTGGTCGCCGGCAAAGGACGGGTGGCCAAGGAGACAGAAAGCCAGGCTGCTCGAGACAGAGCACTCCGCAGGGGATTGGGCGGCCCCACTTCTTGACCTCTTCAAACTTCCTCTAGAGAATGACCCACTCTACCTCATTCTTCGAATCCAGTTTTCACTGAACGCCAGTTGTCCTGCGGGCATCCAGATCCTGGGACTGATCCCTTTGCAGCCTCAGGTGTAGAGCAAGGTGGCGACTCCCAGAAGTGCAGCAGCTACTAGCTGGGTGAGGGATTTCTTTCTAGGGCTATTGTAAGGCTGAGTGAGGCAAAGGAGAGCCTGCAAGCTGGATTTGATTGTAAAGGGAAGGGGAGGCAGTGTGCTTCTCCTTTTCCAGGCCATTTGAGCCCCCAGGTCTTCAAGGAACCATTTGTACAAAGTTAACGGCCTCATTTCCTCTAGGCCCCAACTTGTGGATGGTCCCTGTTTTCCACTTTGGTCACCTTGGCTTTGAATCAGGGGCTCTGGATGCAGGAGTGAGAATTCTAACAATCCTTGGGAGCAGTAACCACGTCCCTGCTGTCTTCAGGTGCCCGGAGGCAAGGAGTCACCCTTCCTAGTGTCTGGGACTTGAAGCTCTCGTGATCCGATAGGTATCTTTCTTTTCTGGGAAGGAGAGAGCTGTGCGGACAAGCTCAGCCTAAGGAGCTTGAGGGATGTGGAGTTTGGCCCTCCCCGCCGCCCTCATCCTCTTCCTCCAACCTCCTTGCTGTGGAACAGGCTTTGGAAGAAGGCCAGCTTGGGTTAGAATCCCAGCTTCCACCACTTTTAGCAGCTGGGTGACACTGGCGAGTTCCCTAAAACATTGAGCTTCAGCTGCCTGGCCTGCAAAATGGGAAAAAGAGTAAGTATCTATGCTGAGGGCCAATCGCGCTTGATCAACGTTAGTGTCATTCCTGGCTTCTGCTGGCTTCTCCCAGCTTCTCCCAACTCCTCAACCCCACTCCCTGCAGGCATCTGCCTTGGCTGTGGGAGAAAACCGTTGCCTCGCGGGGTGGAGCTGGGGTGCTCTTGATCTCTGGGCAGCACCCACTCTGCTCCAACCACCCGCCAGCCTTATCTGTAAGGAAGCAGCAGGTGGCACCGAGGATTCGAGAATGTACATGCATCTCCTGGCCCCAATTACAGGGTGCTGGGGAGCCTGAGGAGGTGGAGATTAGAGTTGGCAGCTGGCCAGGGGAGGCAGGTTGGGTCAGGAGGAGCTGGCTTGGGGTGAAATGCTGGGTGCTCCAGGGTGGCTGACAGAACCATACAGAAGGGTGCGGGATCCCTTTGCCAATAGAGGCCAGGAGTCCAGGTCCCCTCTGAGTTGTTTACCCTGGAGGCTGGAGAGACCTGCCCTTTGCTGCCTGCTGGCCTTGATGCCTGCCCGCTGCCCATCCGGTGGCTTCTTCCTGCCTTCTCCACCTGTTTTTTTGTTTTTTTGGGTTTTTTTGCGGTACGCGGGCCTCTCACTGTTGTGGCCTCTCCCGTTGCAGAACACAGGCTCCGGATGCGCAGGCTCAGCGGCCATGGCTCACGGGCCCAGCCGCTCGGCGGCATGTGGGATCTTCCCGGACCGGGGCACGAACCCGTGTCCCCTGCATCGGCAGGCGGACTATCAACCGCTGCGCCACCAGGGAAGCACCACCTGTTTTTTTAATCAGCTTTATTGAAGATTAATTTACATCACACATTTTGATGAGGTTTGACAAATTTACACACCTCAGGAACTGTCACCACAGTCAATATTTAGAATATTTCCATCATCCCCAAAGCTCCTTCCCTTTTGCTGCCCACCCTTCCACCTTTTTAAAAATATGGATAAGAGCTAGATTAAGATATAAGTCACATACGTTACAATTCACCCATTTAAAGTATACAAGTTAATGGTTTTTAGTTTATTCAGAGTTGTGCCACCATCACCACAACCAATTTTAGGACATTTTCTCTACCCCAAAAAGTCACCCTGGACCCACTAGCAGTACCTCTCCCACCACCTGCTCTTTTACCCTCAAGCACTAGGCAACCAATCGTCTACTTTCTGCTACAGGTTTGCCTATGACAAAAATAGATTTGCCTATTCTGAACATTTCATATAAATGGCATCTTATAATAGGTGATCTTTTATAACTGGCTTTTTGTCACTTAGCATGATGTTTTCAAGGTTCATTCATGTTGGCAAATGTATCAAGCCTTGGTTCCTTTCCAAGTCCTTTGCTACCACATTTTATTTATCCACTCAACAGTTGATAGACATGTGGGTTGTTTCTGCTTTTTGGCTATTATGAGTAATGCTCCTGTGAACACTCATGTTCAAGTTCTGTGTGGACATATGCTTTCCTTCCATATGGAATTGCTGGGCCATAGGGTAAGTCTATGTTTAACATTTTGAGGAACTGCTAGACTGTTTTCCAAAGTGGCTGGGCCATTTTACATTCCCACCAGCAGTGTAGGAGGGTTCCAGTTTCTCCACAGTCTAGACAACACTTGTTACTGTTTATCTTTTTTATTATGGCCCTTCTTGTGGACATAAAGTGTTATATTTTTGTGGCTTTGATTTGCATTTCCCTAGTAGCTAATGATGGTGAGCATCTTTTTTTTTTTTTTTTTTTTTTTTTATACG